CGGCTCGGCAGGCTGGGGTGAGGTGAGGGGCGGCGGGGGGGTCCGGTATTTAAGGAGGGGGGTGTGCTGCCTTGGGAAAGGGGGCACGGCGGGGCGGCTCCGAGCCGGACTCGGGCGGCGGCGGCGGCTCTAGTCTCCTGGAGGGAGACGGCAGGCGGCGGGGTGCACCGTCGGCTGGGCCTTGGCCCAGGCGGCGCGCGACGCGTTTTTTTTAATATTTCGCTCGGAAGAAAAAAAATAAAAAGAAATACTAAACGGACTCCAAAATTTCCGAAATAAATTTTCACGGGCTTCTAAAATCAAGCCTCACTAGGTGAACATTTATTTGGGACCTAAATGCAATTTTGAAAAACGCACATTTTTCCTAAATTCAAATAAAACACCGAAAAACTCCGGAATAAAATCCTATTTGATTTTATTATTAAATCCTCAATATTTCTTTATTTTGGGGAAGTCATTTTATTCCCTCTCTCGTAGTTTTGTAATAGAAATAATTGATGATAAAATTAATAAAATCAAATGATCCTATTCTCAAAATTTGAGAAAACTCAAATATGAAAATAACGAAATCCCCAACTCTCTCCGTGGGTCATTGAGTTGCGTTGAATTTCTAGGATCAACCAGAATGCAAATGAAATATGATACGCATTGATGATCTAATGTATAACATTCCAAATTGAAAATTTGGGATGTTACAAACCTACCCCCCTTAAGATGAATCTCGCCCTCGAGATTTGGATTGGCTAGAAAATAGGTGAGGGTGATCCTTGAACAAATCTTCCTCTCGCTCCCAGGTGGCTTCATCCTCTGAGTGGTGGCTCCACTGAACTTTGCAAAACTTGATAACCTTGCTGCGAGTAACTCGGTTGGCAAATTCGAAAATCTTGACTGGCTTCTCCTCATAGGTCAAATCGTTATCCAACTGAATAGTTTCCAAAGGCACTGTATCTCTCAACGGTATGCCAGCCATCTCCGCGTGACACTTCTTCAGCTGAGAAACGTGGAACACATCATGAACTCCTGACAATCCTTCGGGCAATTCCAACTTGTAGGCCACTTCTCCCATACGCTCCAAAACTCGATATGGTCCTACAAATCGTGGCGCTAACTTCCCTTTAACTCCAAAACGCTTTATTCCTCGAAGTGGAGATACTCGAAGATAAGCTCTATCTCCAACTTCGTAAACTGTCTCCTTGCGTTTAGAATCTGCATAACTTTTCTGTCTGGACTGGGCTACGTTGAGCCTATCGCGAATCAACTTCACCTTCCATTCAGACTCTTTAATCAAGTCAGGTCCAAACAACTGACGGTCTCCAACTTCGT